ACTGGGAATATGCTATGGTTATATTGCCTGTTTGCTGTGTTTGTGGGAAAACTGTGCATGCATCTTTGTATGTCCTGTGTTCCTGTTGCTGTAAAGCTATCATCATTTTCAAATCCTTTGGTACAGTTTGAGCTCTCTCAGCTGTGGGATATATTAGGTGTTGTACTTGATGTGTGTTTATGAGGTACAGATAATGAGCATGGTGCACTGCAAAATTAGAGCTCCCATCCAGAAGAACTTTCATCCTGCAGTGGCAATGATATGGGCTGCTGTATGTCAGTGAGCTTTCAGGTCTTATCCCAAGAAATGATTACAGTCAAAGCACTGGATCAGAAGAACAGAATAGTTCTGGGGCTCATTAAAACAGAATATTTTTATATATATATACCAAAAAACATATAGAGCAAAACAGTTTAGAGTATATTTTATGATTACTAATAATTTAACTAATTTTTTGAAAGTATTCTAGAGAACATGAATTTTAAAGATAAATTAGAACCTGAAAAAGTTTTAGTGGAGAAAGTATCCTATGTGTTTGAAGAGAAATAGAAATGGGAAAGGAGAATTATTAAAGAAAAAGAATTAGGAGAAAGTTCAGATGATCAAATGTGTTCATTGCCCATTTGTGAGCTGGTTTGAGATGCAATTAAACTGATAATTTAGTGTGTTTACAGTAGTTACAAGTTTTTAAGCTGCAACACTTAGAATTATATCTGTGCTTTGATCTCTCTGAAGTTTAGGGATGCCTGAATCCTTGTTTTGGCCCAGCCACTGGTATAATTAAAGTATATTTGATTTGTAATTAATGATACTTACAGCATCTCTTCCTTTAATTATGCATTCTTCTATCTGCAGAGGTGTACTAGGCCAATGAATCTGAGGGGGAAAAAAAAAAATCATAGAAAATCATTCAGCTGGCAGTCTGATCTTGTAAATCCAGCTTTTCCACTACTTTTCATGTGAAAGACGCACAGAACAGAATTACAGAATCATAGAACAGCCCAGGTTGGAAGGGACCTCACAAGATCAAGTCCAACCTTTCATGGGAAAAACAAGCCTAGAGGAGATTATCTAGCACACTGTACTATCACATCCTTAAAACCTCCAGTAACAGAGACTCAACCATGTCCCTGGGAAGGTTTTTTCAGTGACTGATTGTTCTCATTGTAAAAAATGTCTTTACTATCTCCTAGTGCAACTTGCACCCATTGCCCCTTGTCTTCTCCATGTGGATCCTTGTGAAGAAAGAGCCTCTGTCCTCTTTGTAGCTGCCCTTTAAGTACCAGAACATTGTGACAAGTTCCTCTTGAGCCTTCTCTTCTACAGGGAGAAAAGATCTAACTCCCTCAGTCTTTCCTCATAGGGCAGGTTCTTCAGCCTTTTGATCATCTCTGTGGACTTCCTTTTGCATCCTCTCCAGTTTGTCCACATTGTTCTTGAATTTTGGAGACCAGAACAGGACACAGTACTCCAGGCTTGAGAAGTGCTGAGTAGAGTAGGATTATCATGTCAGTACCTCTGCTAGTAATGACCCTGAAGATGCAGCCCAGGATCCAATTTGCCTTTGTTGCTGCAGTGATGCACTTATGACTAATGTTCAGTTTCTTGTCCACCAGGACCCCCAGGTCCCTTTCAGCAAGGCTGCTCCCCAGCCACACAGATCCTAGTCTGTGCTGGGCTCTTGGGTTACGTTGTTCCAGGTGCAGGACTTTGCACTTGTCTTTATCCTAGACTTATACTATATATGCACTTTTTCTTGTGTGTTATAAAGTTTGATCAAGTTTCTGTTACCATTTGAACAGTTTTCAAGTAAATATTCCAGATTTATTTTTAAATGTCTATAAAAGTTTACAATAAGGTAAGACTTTTTTTGTTGAAACATAACCATTTTGCTTGGGGTAACTCAGCAAACTCAATACTAGTCAACAGAATTTAAAGGAAGTTAATCTGTGGAACATATAAATTCAGTAAAAACATTTTTGCTAAGTTGTCAGTGACTTTCAACATAGAATATTAATTTTGAACTACCGATTTCCTGCTTTAAGTGACACTTAGGAAAGAAAATGGTTTACAGTGAAGTTAATGAGGGTCAGCAATTAACCTCAAGGGAGTAGGAACAGCTCTTCATAGTCAGTTAGTAGAAATGAAGCCAATTTACACAAGCAAAATTTTTTTCAGCTATCTACAGTATAAAACTTTTTTCATTCCAGATGCATGATCTATTCACATGAAAACAATGTTAAACAATGACTGAGCAGACTGGAATGTTTACTTCATTTCTTAGAACTTTTCCAAGTGAAAACAAAACATTCACTTCAGTGATATCAGGCTTGGCTGAAACCAAATAATATCAAAAAAATGCATGTCATTATTAAGACATTTTTGTCAATAGTCGAATCACAAATTATTATTCTATCTAGAAAACATTTTAAAATTGAGTTCTTCTTCTGCTAAGCTTTTTTCCTTCCTTTTTTGTAATTAAATTAACTTCATTTTCTTTAAATAATTTTAACCCAAGAAAATCTGGAGATAAATTATAAGAAAAATAAATTGCAAGGAAAGCAGGGATAAATTATGAATCCTAGAGGCTTAGTGCTTAAAAGTCAGAGGTCAGCTATATGTTATTCTTGTAAACTTCAGCAGCCTGTCAGTGTTTAGGTCTTAATGCCCAAATCAGACCACCTATGTTCAAACACCATCTGAATACTGCAAGGAACCTAAAATTAATCATAACATTTGTTTTCAATCATGGTCTTATAGTCACCTATGTATAATCAGAAGTAACTCTTATCTAGTCTCTGTATTGCTGCTCTGTAGTCTGGGGAGGTACCTGAACTCTGCTGAACTCCCATGAGGGCACTCATCCAGTCACCCTGGTCAGATCACTCCTGGTTCATTCAGTGAAAAACTCAGGGCCCACAGTCATTTACTTTACTCACTGGTCAAGGGTTGAATAGGCAACAGCTTGCCCTTAGCTCGAAAGCCTAGACGTTAGCAGATGTGGAATCTGGTATGTCCTAAGCCTAAAAGTTTGAAGTCACAGCTTCCACTTCATAAAGAAGTGTTCTAAAACGAAGGCTTTTGCCCATATCTTGTGTAGGTGGCTGTTAGGAGCAGAGGCACCACAGAGGGAATAAAACACTTGACTCTGTAACCTAATATCAAATACAGTGTGTAGGTGATTATTTTTGTATTTGGATACTTAGTCCCGGTGTTATTGAAAATATTTTACATGCACATTTCTACTTAAGACATATTGAATTAAATGCATACACGGAATTAAGAGGAAAAAGCCCAAGATGTTACACAATGCCCACACTTTGACTATAAAGTTGAAAAGCACCTGCAGAATTTGGTCCTTAAAAAAGAATTATAGAATGAATCTAGAGTCAAGGAATGGTTTGGGTTGGAAGGGACCTTTAAAAATCATCTAGGTCATCCCCATGCCATAAGCAGGGACATCTTTCATTAGATCAGGTTGCTCAAAGACCTGTCCAACCAGACCTTGAACACTTCCAGTGGTGGGGCAGCCACACCTTCTCTGGGCAACCTGTTCCAGTGTACCACCACCCGTATCATAAAAAAAATTCTTATTTATGTCTGATCTAAATCTATTCTCTTTCAGTTTAAAATCTTTGTCTCTTTTCCTGTCACTACAGGCCCTGGTAAAAAGTTTCTGTCTTTCTCCCTTTACATATTGAAAGGCTGCCATAAGTTGTCCCTACAGTCTTGTCTTCTCCAGGCTGAAAAACCCCAACTCTCTCAGCCTTTTTTCATAAGAGATGTGTTCCAGCTCTCTGACCATTTTCATGGTCCCCCTCTGAACCCACTCTAGTAGGTCCATATCTTTCTTGTACTGGGGACCCCAGAACTGGATGCAGTACTTCAGGTGAGAACTCATGAGAGCAGAGCAGAGGGGCAGAATCACCTCTCTCAACCTGCTAGCCACACTTCCTGTGATGCACCCATGACTGTGAGGGCTGCAAGCGCACATTGTCGACTCATGCACAATTTTCATCAATCAATATCCCCAAGTCCTTCTCTGTAGGGTTGTTCTCAATCTGTTCATAATTCAGTCTGTATTGATCATAGTGATTGCCCTGGCCCAGGTGTAAAATTTTGCACTTGGCCTTGTTGAACTTCATGAGGTTTGCATGGGCCCACTCATCTAACCTGTCAAGGTCCCTCTGGACGACATCTCTTTCCTCAAGCATGTAATCCGCACGATTCGTCTTGGTGTCATCCATGAACTTGCTGAGGGTGCACTTGATCCCACTGTCTATATTGTTGTTGAAGATATTAAATAGTATTGGTCCCAATACAGATCCTTGACAAACACAACTTGTTACTAGTTTCCACTTGGATATTGAGCCATTGACTCTAACTCTTTGGATGTGGCCATATAATCAATTCCTTATCCATCTAATATTCCATCCATCAAATCCGTGCCTCTCCATTTTAGAGGTAAGAAAATTGTGGAAGACCATATCAAAGTCCTTACATAAGTCTAGGTAGATGACATCCATAGCTATTCCATTGTCCACTGATGCAGTCACTCCAGTGTAGAAGGCCACTTGTTCAGTCAGGCACAATTTGTTCTTGGTGAAGCCATGCTGGCTGTCTCTAATCACCTCCCTATCTTCCATGTGTTTTGACATGTCTTCCAGGAGGATCTAATGAGAAGCTGAGGATACGTGCACAAACATTTTGCAGAGGAGATGGAGGGCTGTGCTTCCTGGGTGAGTTGTTCTAATCAAAAGTCCAAGGTATAACAGGAACTACCCTCTGTCCCTGTATCTACTACTGCTGCTACATATAAGTCATTCTTGCACAAATCCTTCTCCAAATGAAGTCCTGGTTCTTTTTTGGTTCAGCCATGTGCATATTCCCTATTATGATACTTATAATGCCTTATCTTAGCAAAAGATGTCTAAAAGGAGTAAGAAAGGCAGACATCTCTATACATTTTCCATGGGTTGTGCAGAGGTGTAGGAATCTTAGATACTCGTAGCAAATGCCTACCTCTAAAGCAAGTCCATGTCAGTTGTCTGAAGTAGATGGGTCCGAATTATGACTTTAGTGATACCTATGAGTCTCCTGAAGAAGTTTTCTATCCAGAAATTTGTTTTAAAGACTCATATCTCTTAAAAGGCTTATGAGTTTCAAGATAAATTAGCCTTAAGATTTTAATATCTTCAAGATTATTTTAGATGAGAAACTAAAAAAAATCTGCATATCAGACTTTGCTGTCATACCAAATTTCAAAATTCAATTTTATGTGCAACTTGGGTATAAGCACAGTAGTCAAAAGAATGCATAGTAAAAAATTTCTGCAAAATACTTTTGTTTGTTTGTTTTTTTTAACCTTGAAATCATCGTGAGAATTTCTTAGCTCAGTTAATACTACTGAGAAGAGGTGCTTGGTCTGTTATGATCATTTACAAAAAAATCTGTTTTAAGTGGCTTGAGATAGTAATAATTTACTAAGGTGTACTTACTGTACTTAATTATATTTATATAATTATCGCTGTTTTACTTAACTAGCATAACATAGGATGTCTTTGCACTCCATGGAAATCCAGATATTAATCAGCTGTGATAGTAGCTTTTAACTTGCCACGTATTATTTTTCCTGATGTTTAGGCTTTACAGTTATGACAACTACCAGCTTTAACTATGAATTTATTCTTTGGCAGGATTACAATCTTCTGGCAAGCTGTCAATTACTGTTGGGAAATTTTCCTGTTCATTTAGACTGGAATAACATCACACTAGCATACATTTCACTGCACTGCATGCTTGACATAATTATTGGCTTGGAGATAATTTTTCAAAACTTTTCACCCCTGCAGGTTACTCTGAAGTAAATTTTTAAATTGCTTGTTTACTGATGTTTTCTTATCTTGCACCATAATACTATCAACCTTAAGACCTGAATGATATAATTTTAGCACAGTATTTAAAAGACAGGAGAAAGCTACTTTTAGATAGAATCCTCATGGGAAAAAATTGAATTATAAGGCAGTACAGGCAACAGCTACCAAGCAAATTCAAATAGAGGAAAAACTTTAATTGGAGCTGGAATGCTAATTAGTGTCTCTAAACAGCTTCCCTATTCAGTCACTAGCCTCAAAAAACAGAATGACGTGTCTAATGAAAACTAATCTCAAGAAATTTTATGAGCTTTGTAGCACTTCAGGCTAAAATAGACTACTGTGTGAGCTAGTCTAAATTCTAGTATATGACAGAGCAATTAAACAATTCTACTACCCCATCCCTGGTTTAAGTCAATAAACAGTGCTTAATTAACACATAACTTGTGTTTAGCTGAAGCACAAATTCTGCAAAAATATCTGGCTATGACTGGATATTGTATGTATGTATCAACAAATACATAGGCAGCTTGCCTCTTGGGGAGTAATTCCAAGGGATAATCAGTCTCACTGCTAAATTGTGTGCTTCTTATTTCAGTTTGAATGTTTGAATGTATGTACATTCTTACACAATATTCAAAGGAGATACAAGCAAACCTTGCTCTTGAAGACTTATGCTCAGCCAGCTCTTGAGTGGAAATATAGCTAGATTCGCCAAAGGCAGGCTATATTATGAGGGCTCTATAGTTTATTACAAGAGATACATAAATCCTAAACTGGAGCTATCTTGTACTCAATCAGAAACAGCACATTGAAATCTACCTGCACAAGCCTATTTCAGATGTATGAAGGCATCTCGTCAGAGCAAGACCTTCATTAGTCCTTTGACGCAGAAGTGAGGAAGAAAGAATATCTGTAAGGAGTTTGTAGACAAATAGGCAGTGCAGTTTATTTTCACTCCAACAAGAGATGAAAAGTAGAAACAAAAGTCATCCTCTATGAGCTGTTAGATGACTGGGGATGAATTGCTAACATTAGTTCAAGTTTGCTGTCAACAAAGATCTGCTCTGGCACCAATTGCAATGAACTGAAATGTTTTTTTAAAATAAATTTGGCACCAGATACCAAAAAAGTTCTCTATCAGTGTGTTAGATCATTAAAAGCCTTAAAGACTTTGAATCAGATCCCAAACGTGTAGTTTGATTCCAAAGGTGGTGTCAAAGGAAATGACATCTTAGGGAAACAAAAGTCACATGGATGGTACCTCCAAAGCTTTGTCTTCACACAAGGTTTCAAGTTCTTCTATGGCTTTAATTATCTGTAAATATTGATATCCACATTTCATATTCTCCCTCATTCTTGCTACTGTTAGTGTTAGGGCATTCTTCATATAGAAACTAAGGCAAATGAGTAACTGATTAAAAAACTTATGGTAACATATGTTAAATACTCTAAGCAAGAAAATTTCTGTGTGTGTTATATGAAAGGAGAGCTAAGAAGAGTACAAAAAAAAAAAATACAAAGTAGGCAAAGGGAATACAATTTAACCAATGGAGAAGTGAGACTCTGTCTTTGTCCGAGATGATGTGGAAGGTCTATGCCACAGTTGAGAGTGAAACCCAAATCTCTAGATTCCCCAACCAATGCAAAAATGACAGTAGTACTTTTCTTCTCTGAAATTTTTTTCCCATTTTGTGTGTGTATCCATATTTTCTTTACTGGATATGAAAAGTGGTCAAATGGTCATATGCTTAACATAATGTTGGTAGATGTATACACAAACAGCTAATAGCTTATGTGAAAAGCTATAATCTACCCTTCAGAGTGCTGCTTTGTATTTGAAAGCTGAAGAGAACTGAACCTTAAGGAAAAAGTCTCTTAAATGCAGATTTATAGGATGCATACCTCACATGCATCACAAACTGAGTTTTTGGAAATGTTGAATTACTTTGGCAGACAATGCAAAAGCATTTTATGGCCACTCAGCATTTTCTTGGTTTTCTTTGGGAGTCTTCTAATATGCTTTCTAGAACTAAATTACTGGGCCATTTTACAGCAGAAGGGATACATCACTGATTGGGAATGGGTTTTACTTTGTTTTTTAGAAAGCATATTCAGACTGCAAATTGTGGAAAAAGGGATGGCAATGAATTAAAACATATAAACTGTTTTCTAGAACACAGAAGATTAAAAAGGTCTATATGAATCTGCCCCAAAGCTACCAACTTTATGAAACTTCACTTTTGCAGTTAATGACTCATCCTGGTTACCAGAGAGAGAATAAAACCCAGGAACTTGCCTCTACTTTCACTAAATTATAACTGCTGTTTTAGATTAATTAAGCTAAAGTCTTCAGTATAAAAGAATAAGTCAAAGGCTAACCCTGACACAGTTAAAGGCAGGTTAATGAACCACTTTGGTAACAATGAATCAACTAGTCTGTTGATTCCCGGAACTTGTCCCAGTATATCTCAGTAATTAAGCTCTAATATAACAGAAATGTTTCATTCAACAGTTTTCCTGATAGTGTGTGGGATAATCATGTTTTTCCTAGCTATCACTGAATGAGATCTGCACTGAGTGAACAGTGGGAAAAGAGAAAAGGATCATGACATTTGTATTCCAGGGAGCTAAGTCCCAGTGTGGTCATGTTTCTAAATATGCTAGGTCAAGCTCCATTTATTTCAATTTTTTATCTTTTGCACATCATAAAGGAAGGCAAGCAAGCAAGAAGAGCTTCCATTGATTTTTCATACTCTCCACACATGTCTCAAGACAGAGAGTATGGTTTCAGAGTAAATGGCTGATCTTCCATGTAAAAACAACAAGGAGAGCAATGAACTTCAAGAGTGTGTCCAGATGGGACAATAGTAGTTGGACAGAGTCATAAAGTGACCTATCCTATCATCCTTCCTCATACATATTTACTGCCAAATGGAGAAGAAGAGAGGGTGGGAAAGCTTATTTTATAGAAAAAACTGTTTCCTAAATGTTTTTATGTACTTGAGCTCTAATGTCTTGTCACAGGATATTAATAATATTTATCAAATTGAAAAGGAGTTAACTCATATCTCATTGTGGAGAAGCAAAGCTCAGTATTTAACATAGCTCTCTGAGGAGGTTGCTTTGGGGTTTTTTTCAGGTTTTTTTTTTAATACAGATAAATTCTCAAATGGCCTTCCTGAGTATATGCATTTCCCTATATCTAGGATTGCCTTTCCCAAACTGTTTATAAAAAGGATAAATCATACTATATCTGTTCACAGTAGTGGAACATGCTAATTACACTTAGAGATAAACAAGGTTGCTTATGGTAAAGTTGACCAGAGTGTTGACATGAGATTAGTGATATTCACTTATAAGGGGGCAGAAAGAAAAGAATTTGAAACATCATTGGTCAGTGTAGTATGGACATCAATGAAAAATATATTTCTCCAGAGGGGCTTTATTTATTCACTTTTTCATTCATTTATTAATTTGATAATGAATGAAACTGTATCAAAATGCCTTGCAGAAATTTCAAAAAGCAGATAAGGAAAACACTGAAATTTTTCAACACATCACGTATCTACAATCAAGATGATTGAGGCAGGAGCAATCTTCCTACCAGCTTCCTTTTCCACTGCATGTTTCCAGTCCTAGCTGCCAAGGGCAGAAGTAAGGAAGCCAAGGCTCACATCAGCTCAAACTCCAGCCTCTCCACTTCAATTGCCAGTTTGCCATTCAGTTGTGGTTTCCTTTATGTACCAGGCTCTCTGGTAGGATTATGACTTAAACCACCTTTCTCCCACAGACCACTGAATAGACTGCAAATGCCACTTTCAGTCACTGCTTAATAGCACTTCTGGCTCAAAGCCAATGCAAAATCCAGTTTCTAAAGAAGGCCAAAAATTAACTGCATGATTTATGCTGCTATTGAATATTTCTTATCATTTATGTGCTAAATTTCTGATGTTTTTTCTGTTGCTGTGGAAAAGTGCCCCACAAATATCAGGGAGAAATTATTCCTTGATAGTATAGTGGAGATACAGACACCAAGGATGTACTAAGTGTGAGATGCTCTAAACATTTGTAAACATGCTGAAAAAAAGTGAGAAATAGCTATATAACCCCCAGACCCTTGTGGATTATTACTGAGGAAAAAAATGGTAATTAGTGTATTTCTATAAAATATAAACATGACCTTAAAGTTCATGCACAAAACTTCTACAAAAACTCCATTATCTCATTTCCAATCATGCAAACTCTGATATTCTGCACTACACATTATGACACAAAGTTACTAATAGATATAGCTTTTTACTCCACCTCTCGGTAGTTGTCGCTGATTCGATCCAAACTCAGAGAATACAAGAGGTCTCTTCCTCCCACGAACAGTCGCTCTTGATACTCATCCAGCAGCATTATATGAAGACCAAGATATCCAAATGGGCTATGAAAGACTGACGTCCTGTTTAAATCCCAGAGCTCTGAAATACAATCAGAGTGTGAGTGATAAATACCAAATAGCTTAGCTTTCATGGCTTCATTTTCATATTCTCCTAGGGAACTAGACAAGACATTGTGGGACATTAAAATGTTAATCATATAATCTCTGAGTAAGAAAGAGGCACAAAACACCTGGGAACAGTTTACAAAATGAGCTAGCTCTCCAGAAGTTTTGTGTGTCAATTTTTACACCATAATCTTTATGCTCAATGAGATATGGATGGAGGAAAGTAAGTTTTCTCCTTAACATTTTCTGAAAAGGAAAAAACACTGCTTAAGACATTAACTGCAAATGGGAAAAATTAATAAACTGAGGGAAACTGAAAAAAATACTGGAAATTATCTCCTTGACTTTTCCTCAGGCACATCAAACTGCAGGTTTTTACTGCATGTACAATGTTGTTCTGGTTTTACTTTTTGCAGGGATGGGTTTTCTTGTTTTAAGCCCAGCACTGTCTCCACTTAGTTCATTAAAAACATTGCCTCTAAACTCAGTGAGAACAGTATGAAATCTGTCAAATTCATATTCATAATCCCTCAAGTGATTACTGATTTTGTCAAAAAATACGTTGACCAGATAAGGGGATCTGGGGCTTAGTTGCAAATGATCCAGGCTGAAGTCACTTCCACAGAGAAGGGGAAATTCATCCAGGGTAATGTTGCAGAAACTTGGAATCAGACCTCAGGAAGGGAGAAAGAGACAAGCACAGAGGTCTTTCTGCACTCTTGAGCAGATGGTGCAGAGCACAGCCCAGCTCGCAGCAGGCCAGAAAGGCTGAAAACTGTTTTGCTCTTGGGAAGCATCAGAAGAAGTCACTACAGAGAGAACCTTAGGACTGTCTCCAAAACAGCAGAGCTGGGACTAGGGGAAAGGAACTATGCTCTTATGTCAATATTGTGGTGAATTTTTTTATATTAAAGAAAGAAAAGTCACTCCTGGTAAAAGCAACTAAATTCCTTTTAGCTTATCCTCACAGCTATTCCTAAGCATACCTTTTCCAGCTGTTTAAGTATGGCCCAGTAGCTGATGTTGGGAGAAGTGGGATTGTCCCAGAACTGGTGAAGACAACAAATGGGCCCTCATCTGGTTGGGGGTGGAGTCTCCAGTTTGTGTGCTACACCAGCAGTTGTGTTCACTTATCCATGAATCATCTTATCAGCCACTCAGAGGCCACAGCTGGTCTTCTGCAAGAGGACTGGTCCTACATGTCAGAGAAAGTCCTCGCACAGCTCTGTCACTATTGCATTCACTTGGGATGCCATATATGCCATCCATATATGCTGCAATTTTCAGAAATTGATATATATGTTTAACCTGAGAATGTAGCCTTATAAGGTACACAAATATTAAAGCACCAAAATTCATAATAATTATTAAAAAATTGTCCTGCGTTCCCTGAGAAAAGGGTATTCCAAACCAATGAGATATGAATCCTAGATTTGAATCTGAATTTGTATTTAGCTTACCCAGAAAAAGATTTATCATGATCAGTTTTCCTCGTGAGATACCTTACTCATATCCTAAACTATAGAGAAGAAAAACAATGTTTTGAGGCAGGGCAAGAATTTTAGCATTCAGTGGAGATATTTATTTAATCCAACAAATTGCCACAATTTTTTTCTATTAGATTATTATTTATATTTTGTGCATGATGATAAAGGAATTTAATAATAGAATAAATATGCTTTGTTCCCTTTGTTGACTGGGTTTAATTCAAGTCAACAAGCTGATTTTCCCTAGATGATAAAATTTCTATCAAAGGAATCATACTAGAAATTCAACCTCACATCTGATTTCTTTTTTGAGCTATCTTCAAAAAGAATCTATTGATTAAATAGCATGTAGAATAATGTTACTATCACAGCTTTCTGTAACATTTTTTAACAGTAGAGATCAAAACACTTTGTAAATGGGTGTGATTGGCATGATTTAACAAATAGGAAAACTAAGTCACAGAGAGGAGCATCGTGATGAGCAGAACAAGAGACTTTTTTGTCTAAGCTTTATGTACTGGCCAGTGAACATATACGTTCTTGGACAGTGACACGCTCAGTACAGAATTACATAGCAATGTGGAAATGGTACTTTCAAAGCAAGCTTCTCTCACCAAGGAAATCCATCAGATTGCTGTTTCAGAAGAACATTGCTTGTTTGTGATCAGATTAGAAACAGAATGAAAGCAGAACTAGAAATATTCTTTTGGTCCTAAATAAAGGCACTCTTTATTTGCAAGAATATAAAACGTCCAATATATTTTATTTTTGAGTCCTTCTTGGAGTTAAAAGAAATGCATTTTAAATTCTATTTATATATAAGTCACAAAAGAATACTGTGGCATCTTCCCATGATTTATTTCCATGTTGTCCTGAAGGTAAATTTTTCATAAATGAGACAATATTTCTTTACATAGATCAGAGATATCACTCACGCGTACTCAGTGAGAACACAAGGCATGATGAACAATGTACACTGGTAACTACCCATATAAGACTCAGTCCTGCCAAGGACACCTGCAACTCTCATTGTCTTAAATTAAAGTCGAGAATATTAAGCACCTTTCAAGATCAAACTTGTAAAAAGATGTGTTTCTAGGAGTGACTCCAGTAAAGCTATACAAACATATTTTTGCAACAGGTGTGTAGACAAGCACAGAAGTGAACCTGACATCTGGAAGAGCTGGAAAACACCAAGCAGACATTTTTTTACTGAAACACAAATGTACTAGTACTATGTAGTTCCTTTGAAAGGTACTAGGATTTCTGGACATTGTAGGATATTTGAGATATTAGGATAGTGTAGGCAAATAGCATACAGCATCTTCTGAATGTCAGGAGAATGGGTGGGATATCCAGGAGTCTAAAATGGCACTAAATGCCTGTTATTTTTAGGCAAGTGAATCTCACTATTGTGTGGTTTGATGCAAATGACCTAGGTTTTGAAGCAGTAGAACATCATTCGTGTGGTGCTACATCCCTTCAGTAAAGCTGGTTTGCTTCAATATAGCTCTACGTGAATGCAGCTGCACTGCTTCCAGACTTGAGCTGACGCAGTCACAGGTTGCACAGCCTTCACATTAGCTTAGTGAATTGTTAGTTCATGGATCGTTGTACTTTACAGTGTTGAGATACCCTCAGTCACTGAAATCAAGGTACAGCTGGGAGTGAGATACTTAAATTCAAAGCTTAAAGTAACTTTCCTGAGAATCTACCCTCAGCTTGAAGAAGCTTATGTTTGCATAGGTCACCTTGTGACTATAGACTCCTCAAGGTGTCAAGGGTTATGTTTCTGCTCATGCCTACAACCTTAATTTGAAAGAAATAAGTTTCTAGATCATGCCTAAACTTGAGCATAACCCAGAAAGAGGTTGTCCTTCTACCTAATACTAGGATTTAATAGCTACATTTATGCTGAGCACATCTACTTCACTTAACAAGATCAGGTGCAGCTGTGATTTTCTCTGAGAACCTAGCCAGAGAAGATACAGTGCTTCCTAAAATGTTTTAAATATTCTAGTGGCTAAATAATCAGTCACATGAGAAATAGCAGACAATATTTCAATTAGGAAGAGTCAATAAGCAGTAGCACAACTCTAATTTAGTAGTTAAATTAGGACAAAAGAGAAAAGAACATTCCTACTCCTATCTATTGGTTAAACCAGAGCTTCAAGTTGCCTTGCTGTACTGATCCCCGAATTGGACAAAATTCAGCTTTTCTACTATAGTGTTTTGCCATTTTTATCTAAAAGCTCAACAACACAACTCAAATCACATAATTAAAATACAAACAATTTTTTTTGCTCAACAAAGCAAGGACTGTCTCGATATTTACATATTTCTATATGGCACTGCACCTATGTGTGAAAACCTTAAAGCAAGACTGGGCTGCTAGACTACATTTCATAAGAGAACAAATCTTATTTCTTGCTGTTTTAAATGTTAAGAACAAACCTGAAGGTTTTTTATCTATCTGCCAGAGCTTGCTGACAAATATTCAGGCTAATCTTTCTTACCATATTTTCTCTTAAAGCACGTTTACTTTGATGAACATATTCGTATTATATCCTCTTTGACGAGATGGATTCTGTTAGCCATTTGTCAAGTAATGTTAATTATATTCATAATAGCTAATTTCTTGAATGTTTTAATGAGCAGTATGTAATTCTTTCTAACTCCTGAGATTGTGTTAAACCAACTGTTTCTTCAAATACAAAAAAAAAAAAAAAAAAAAAGTCATTATTTTATTATTTTATTTTGATTTTTTTTTAAATATAAATGCTTGATAACTAAAATATTCTTAGGACATTAGATGCAAAAACCTCATTGCTGCTCCACAATTTATAACAGGTTCATTTATAACAGGTTCTCAGAAATTAAGCATTTATAACAGGTTCTCATTTATAACAGGTTCTCAGAAATTAAGCATGTAGTAAGATATAGGTTTGAACTTTGAATATAGAGAAATATTGCTATAGATTTTTTTTTTTTCTGAGGGAGTGAAAAAGCTGCTGTTGCTCTGCTGTTTTTCATAGCATTACATCATTACAACTGCACAAGTCTATTGCTTTTGCCCTTTTTTGCCCTCATAAAAATCTTTGATTCCTCTTTTAAATTCTACAGAAATATAGTCTCACCTCCCACACTGCTTCATTCTGCAGAACATTCTTCCAGCAAAGATGTTTTCCAGATGCAGGGCACTGACAAATGAGTCTGAAACTTTGAACATGTTGAGTATGTAAGGTGGACATCTCAATGCTCCTTTATAGGAAGAGCTAATGACTGGGGTTGCCTTCTGTCCCCATCAATAATGTAAAAGGCCACCAATATAAAGTCCAGGTTATGTGAACACCTGAATGACATTTTATGTTTCCAGTTATCAGCATAGTGCTGGAATATAAATATTACAATGGAAGAAGTTCTATAACAATTTAGTGGGCCTTATGTAATTTGAGTTAATTTGGCTTTCTGATATATAGGT